TAACTATACTTGTCAGGATCAATATTATCAAATGTAACTTCACTTGATCTGTAGTGTAGAATAATAGAGCACAAATCTACCATCTGCAGTTCAAATACAAACACAAAAAACATATCAGATTCAAATACAAACATAAATCCAAACTTTTAGAAAATCCAAAAAAAAAACTAGACACCATTTGCAATAATCCCCAAAATCATAAATTAATTCTTTGGAATCAGAAATTATAAACCAAAAATAAAAAAATAAGACCAAAAAATTAAAAAATTAGAAATCCTAATCAAAATACCCTAATTTCCCTAACTTCTGTAATTTATCCTTCACCTCACGAGAAGCAAAATACCCTAATTTCTCTAATTTCCTTAATTCCCCTTCACCAAACTAATCAGAATACCCTAATTGCCCCTTCACGAATCAGATATAGTACCTTCTGAAACTCGAAAAAATAGAAAACAAAGAACCCAAAGATCAGAAAGTAGAAACAAGAAAAAAAAAATTTGAAACCAAAAATAAAAAACCCTAATTTTTACCGAAATTTAAAACCCTAAAAAACTTGAACAAAATATCCATACAAACCTTCCTTTGATTCCGGACGTCAACTTCGCGATTCGAGCAATGATAGGTGATGATAACAATTTCTATCGTGATTACGGCTTGTTCAGCCCTAATCTTCTCTAATCTCTATGCGGTTTCCAAGTGAAGAGGGAGTGAGGTAAATCGTGACACTAGGCCAAAACAGCTCACTGGCGACGTTTTTTTTTGCGACGATTTAGATATAGTCGCAACCTTGCGACGAATTAAATTAAAAAACGTCGCCAATTGTCGAAAAACAAGATTTCGGTGAAAATCTCGCGACGAAAATATTAATCGTCGCCAATTGGCGACTATATTGCACAAAACGTCGCAAATGTCCTCTCTTAGCGACGTATTTATATAAACGACGCACGAATTTTTTTTTTGCAATTTATTTTTTTACATTCGCGACGAATATTACGTATACGTCGCTAGTGTAATTGTCAAAAAAAATATTTTATTGGATTTGCTACGAATTCGGAAAAACGTAGCGTACCAAAGTGGAAATATTAAATAATGTTTATTCTTCGCGACGAAAGTGTACTAAACGTCGCTAGTAAAAAAAATTGTTTAAAAAATTATAATTATTATTTGCGACTATAGTGTATTAATCGTCGCCAAAATAATTATTTGAAAAAAAATTGTTTTTCTCTAGCGACGTTTCCTAAGGAAACGTCGCTAGGCTATTTTTTAATTTTGTTGTGTGCGACGAAAGAAGTGAAAATCGTCGCTAATAGATTCGTTAAAGTTGAGTTCGCTACGATTTGTTATAAATCGTCGCAAAGGTTTTAATTAGAGTACAGACCCTAATTCGATTTCCCCAATTTTCTCTAACCAGTTTCTTTCTCTCTTTCACTCTCTCCGCCGGCGCCTCCCCCTCCGTCTGCCATCTGCCGGTGCCACTCCCTCCACCGGCGCCTTCCTCTCCGCCGGCGCCTCCACCTCCGCGTCCGCCGCCGCCGTCGGCCCCCCCTTCGTCTTGCTCGTCCGCCGCAACTCTCTGCCCAGCTCTCCGCCCAACATCCGGCGAGCTCTATACGGCGGCGCCGCCACCTCCCTTCTCCCTACGGCCTCGTTGATCTGTAGCTAGCCTTACTTTCCTCGTCTCTACCTAACCCTCAATCAACAACCACAAAAAGGGCACTCGATAGGCAAATATCAGATTGATGAAATTAGGGCACTCGATAGGCAAATATCAGATTGATGATATTAAAAAAAAAATTGTTTGAGGATGATGATACAGTGAGAAATATAGAATATTTGTTTGCCTTTTGGTGTTGATTTTAGTGAGACGTTGAATGTAATATAAATATATAATACATGTACAGATTTTTAGTAAATTATATTGTTGTGTTCTTTTGACTTTGTAGTAGATGAATTGTGAAACAGTGAAACTAGATTTTGGTTAGTTAATAGTTTTTTGATCACACTTGAGCCGATAATTAATTGTACGTAATTGACGAAATCTGTTCGTATATGTTCAACTTTAATTTAGTTTTAATTTTCTATATAATCTTCACTTAATTTAGTTTTAATTTTCTATATAATCTTCACTTAATAGAAATCTGTTCGTATATGTTCAACTCAGGCGAGCGATGTCGGAGAAAGATATTTCTGTTGATCATATAGGTACCGAGTCTACAGGTACTGACGTGGTTGATTTAGAGTTTGACGACAAGGGTATTCCCGTTGCACCTGGGAGGTACAAGTTGGCGGTGGCTATTAGTAACGAGGTTACGCATTGGGATAATTTTGATCCATGTATTTCTTGGCCTAACCACAAAAAAAATGGGCCATGTCGAGGGATTGTGGAAAGCGTTTAAGGTATTTGTATGTAATTTTTATTTTATTTAAGTTATTTAATTTTTTGTTTCATTTCAATTGTATATTTTTTATATTTTATTTAGGAAACTTGGAAACTTCCTGAAAATGAGGCTACAAAAAAATGGTTCAATGAGACTGCTAACGGTCGTTGGAAAGATGGAAAACTAAACGATTGAAGGCAGTCTTTGATAGAGCTCCAGACCTTGCCACGGCTAAGGCAAATTGTCCAAATAGGATTAGTGTTCAAACTTGGGAGAAACTATGTGATCAATTTCATTCTATTTCCACTCCTGGTGTTGATGGGAAGGTAAATTATATATATTTAATTTATGGAAAATGTTTAAATATATTAAAGAGTTTTAATTTTTTGTGTTATTGTCCATAGTCCAAATCAACCAAATGCAAGGACTCGCGAAAGAAAGTCTCGACAGACCACCATTGGGGTCGAACAAGTATCAATAGTTGGTCCCACAATCATGTAAGTAATTGATCTATAATTTTAATTTATTTAAGTTTAAAATAGATACTTACTTTATAATATTTTAGTATAGTTTAAAAAATTGGGCAAAAATCCTACGGTGTTTGATACGTATATGAAAGCATATATGGGCATTGATGTACTGAGGGAAACCGGGCCAACTATTAGTGAGGAAGGAGATACAGAAGAACCGTATAATGGGATAGCAACTCGTGAACAACTTCGCATTTCGGTAAGTGTAATGCAATTTTATTCTTCAATTGCTTGTATGTTAATTATTTATGTTTATTGTTGTCGCATGTTTATCATATTTAATTATTTGATATGTCTAATTAGTACGTAGTTGAGATATGTGGATATGAATATTTGTTTTAAATAATGTTAAGTTGTTGTATACATGGATGGTTTTTTTGGGGATGTTCATTTATTAGTTGTTATGCTGTCGAAATTTTTGCTAAACAAGCGTACTTAATCATTTTCTGGCTGATTTGGAACGAGTGTACGATGAGACAATTCGTGATGGAAGTGACGAAAGCACGGCCAACTCAATTGCGATAGAAAAAGTGCTCGGAAAAAGCAAAGGGCTTGGAATTAAGATTGCAACCACCACAAAGAGTTCAAAGTCGAGATTTTCTTCAATTCCGCCGGAAGTGCAAATGGAAATGAATTCAATGAAAGAGCAAATGCAACTTAAAGATGAAAAAATGGAAAGATTAGAAGCGGAATTGAAAGAAACCCGAGAAATTGTGAACACCTTAGTCGGTCGTTTTGGACTACAAGCCTCGACATCGACTCCTTCCAATGATGGTGGAGTATAAAAATGGATGAATTTTGTTTGGTTTTTGAATTAAAGTTTGAAACACTACATTATATGCTTTTCAGTTTTTATGTACTTTTTTAATTTATGTTTTGTGCTACCTTGACACGATCTTAATCCGTATAAATGGTTTTAATATTTTCGATATAAGTGTATTTTTTTTTTGTACAACTGCAAAATACAGGTTGAATTTCTTAATTAGAAAAATAAATAAACCAGAAATTATATTAAAAAAAAAAAAACCTAGCGACGAATAAATAAAAAAAATCGTCGCAAATAATCGTGGGCCTTGCGACGAAAACTGTTATCAGTCGCAAACATTTTTCGCAAACGTAGCGACGAAACGGTCACAAAACGTCGCTTAATATAGCGACGAAAAACATAATTCGTCGCAACTGGTAAGCGACGAAAGTATAGGATCCGTCGCGAATATTAAAAAAAACATTTTTTTCCAGAAAATACGAATGTTGCGACGATTTATGCCATTCGTCGCCAAACGTTGCGTCGAAAATGTCTTTTCGTCGCAGACCTTGCGACGGGTCGTTTGGCGACGTTTTGTGTAGGATTTGGCGACGAAACAAATTCGTCGCAAAAAGTAAACAATCGTCGCCAAATGCACATTTTCGTCGCCAAATTTCGTCGCCAGTCGACCATTTTGGCCTAGTGTGACAGATGAAAAAGATGAATGTGAGAAATAAAAGTAAAAAACGTGATTAAAGTGAAAAGATCAGATATTAAAAACGTTGTTATTGTTAGGAACAAAAAGAAACGTGTTTTAACAATGTTAACACGATGTAACAGAGGGTACAATAGACTATACACATTTTCAGCTTTTTTCTTTTATTTTTTACATATTTAACAGAAGGATATAATAGACATTTCACGTTTTCGGTTAAAAAAATTCGGTCAACCGTTAGTCAAGGGAGGTTATCGTAATTACCTAAACGTGAGGGGGATTTTCGTTATTTAGGCTTACCTCAGGGGGGTTTTGGTAATTTGCCCTTTTTCTTAAATTAAACCCAAATATAATCAATCATTATGAATGTACAATGTATTTTTATTGGATTAAAAAAATCAATGGATGAGATTTCAAAATTTAATTATTTTTTATATATAAAATTAAATATTTTACAATTCGAGAAATACAACCATGCATCATTCAAGCTAAAAGCATAAATCCGTATGAATACTCCTCTGGATAAATAAAATCAATTAAAATATATAAATAAAAAAAATAAAAAAATTATAATATCAAATTATCAATACAAATTACAAAGTAATAAATAATACTTTAATTTCGTAATTAACAGAAGGATATAAACCTCGTAAGGTACTGCTGACCATAACAGTGCACGAACACGAACATCAGCAATTTCACACCAAAATCATAACATGAAAGAATACATAAAGCTCGTATTTTTCCCAAATAATTAGAAAAAAAAGCACCACATCCGTTGAAGATATTCACTAATGCAGATTAGCCACATATTAACTATGCAATGAAGCACGTAACTCATTGCACCTCTAGGAAAAAAACACTAGACGAAACACCCATAAGAGAGAGAAAGAAAGAAAAAAGCTTCTGATTTCACTAATTCAAACAACTCCGAAGAATACACAATATCACTACATCATAAGAAGAAGAAGACCCGAAAGACGACAATGTCGAACATAAATACACTACGGTGTACATTGTCCTGCAAATTCGACTCGGGATCAAATCATTCATCAAGAATCCTACCATCAAATACCCAATTTTATCCAATTCAACTCGTGATTCGAAAAACACGAGGGCACTTCACAACTTACCATTGATCATGCCACCAAGAAAACAATACATAAATTTTACTACAAAAACCCAAAACTAATCATCAAAGGGGCATGCAAACAAACAATTGATTAAGACGCACACGTGTCAAAAAAATAAAAATTAGAACACACAATTCATCAAAACCCTCAATTTTTCTCCAGAAAAAAAAAGAAGGAAAAATCCGAAGACTTACTTCAGTCTATAAAGCCTATTGGATCGCTCTTCCTCGGCCAAGAATTCATCTTTGACCGATTTGCCCTCTCGATCAGTAGAAACCTTTGACGCCAAAATTTTGGAATTATTTTTAACGCCCAATTGGCTTAATTTTATTTTTACATATTTAACAGAAGGATATAATAGACATTTCACGTTTTCGGTTAAAACAATTCGGTCAACCGTTAGTCAAGGGGGGTTTTCGTAGTTACGAGAACGTGGGGGGGG